ACTATCTTCTGCACATCCCACCATACTTTTGCAAAATGTTCGGATTGCAGCTTGACATTTCTCCACAAATTGTTTCGGAAACACAAATCGAATATCGGAGTTACACTCAGTCGGTGTGTAAATTCCTGCTATCGACTTCTTCGTCTTTGGTACAGCCCGAATAGAGAGATTTGGTAGTATCCGCTTGGCGACACCGTATGTATAATCATTGTCCAGCAACCTGATAATGTTCCGTAAGTTTGGAACTGGTGCTAGCGTGCCTTGTATCAGCTTGGTGGCATTTCGCTTTCCACGCTCGACGCGCTGCTTCTTTTCCGCATTGCCTTGTTTCTTTCGAACTTGAGGGCGGCCACGACTTTTTGTGCTTTTCGATATCACAAAAGACCCTGTCTGCGAAAACTCTGACGAACCGCTGCTGACATGTAGCCTCTTTGCGAGGCACGGCTCGCTTTCCGTAGACGCAACTTCTTGAACACGCGGTGTACTCGATTTTACATCTCTTGTCGATTGTAGTACAGGTTGTGTAGTTTGTGATACCTCTGAAGTGGCTGGAGACACATAGGTGACTACAGGTAATTCAGAAGTAGCTTCAGGTACTGAAAGTGTGACTTGAGCAGCGGTTCGTTGCGTAGGGGGCTCCTTGTCTTCCAAACTGCTTGCCAGGTCATCCATCGACGCATCTTTATCTCACTGCGTTCCTGCAGCAACGTTAGAATCCAGCGTTGGCGAAAATGCCAGCGACGCCCTCGTAAAACCATTCCAGACGTTCTTCTGTCGTGGTTCCACCTCTTCGTTTCTCTCGCATCCTTACCACCATGTTGTACACATCACGCAAAATCACATTCTGCCTAACGATGTATACCGACACAAATGAGACGCCAACCAATACATACCGTCATAATACAGCCGAACCCACCTGTCTTCTTACGCAGATACTGCAAGATCAGCTTCGGTTTCGATCCCGCCGCTTGAAGCTTGTCCACAAACGCCAAGATGTTCAGGTCATCCACACAGCGGTTGGAGACATGATTCTCTTAGACCGCTTTTGACACGTTGTGATTGTCTTTGACGCCGAAGCCGGTGACTCGTACCATGAAAGCCTCCTCACTGTCGTTCCACGCCACTGCTGCTTTCACGTTTGCCTTGAATCCCTGTTGACTTCTCAAAGTAGGACTTACGTATCCCCTTTCCGCGACTTTTGCGGCTCCATCCGTGTGTGCACACGAGCATTATCCAGAAGTTCTTGAGATCTTCAGGTATCAGGCGCCCACAGGACCCTAATTCCACCGAGTCTCCTCCGTCTTCCGCAGTCGCGACGCTGATCCCTAGTTGAGTCTGGCTGGCAATCTCCTGACTCCTCTTTCGCACGGAAGTGGGTGTTCGCTGGCGGAAAATCTGGTGAGTGCCCCGCTCAATAGTCGTCAATGTAGGCACGAAACGTTGACCAGTCGGTATGCCATTCCGTGTCGATCGGTGGGCAGACCCATGCGCTGCCAGACTTGCACTTCCGGCTGACTATCGCTCATGTGATGAATACCTGCTATTCACAATACAATGAACATCAATTGCATACCCCACCTCAAGAACCTCCTCCAAATACGCAGTCGTACCTCGCTACCGATGCCAAATTCAAAATGAAAGGCTCAGGGCGAACGGGGACGGCTGAAAAGGGGGAGAGGGGGGGGAGGGGGTGTCACATTTCAGAAATCGAAATTTCACGTTTAGCCATGCGGGTATTTTATCTGCGTAAATTACGGCGTT